ATGGGCTGTCTGATTTCTGGGGCTGCGTGCTGGATCGAGTGGGAGGTCGGTGTGCTGTCATGCGAGGGGTGGGTGACAATGGGCCGTCCTTCTTCCCCCGTGCGTCTCTTTGCTTGGGATGATGTTAACATGTACCAGCTGGAGTGGGGAAAGAATGGTAGGAGGGAAGGGGGAAAGGAGGTAGGGAGAATGGTGGTGAGATGGGGAGGGGGTGGGCACTGAAGGAAACGAGTTACGAGGGCGAAAGTGGGAATCGTTCTGGAGGACGGGGTTTCAGAGGTGAGGGCAGAGGAGGAGAAGTATGAGGGAGAAACAGAGAGGGGAGGGGAGAGGGAGAGGAGGGGGGAAGCGGAGAGGATTAGAAGCGAGGGGAGTTGGAGGCGGGGAAAAGGATTAGGGGATAGGGAGAGGCGATAGGGATAAAGGAGGGTGTGGGATGAGGGAGAGGGTAGAGGGGAGGGAAGTGGGGAGAGGGGGAAGGGGGGAATGGGGAGAGGGGAGAGGGGAGATGGGAGAGGGGTGAAGGGAGAGGGGAGAGGGGAGTTGGGAGAGGGGTGAAGGGAGAGGGGAGAGGGGAGAGGGGGGAGTGGAGATGAGAGGGGAAAGGGAATGAGGGAAGAAGTGAGAGGGGAGAGAGAGGAGTAGAGAGGGGAGGGGGTACGTGGAAGGAAATTGAGGGAAGAGGAGAGAAGGGAGTGGAAGGAAGGGGAGAGGGGAGATGGGAGAGGAGACAGGAGAGAGGAAAGAGGGAAGAGGGAAGAGGGAAGAGGGAAGAAGTAAGAGGGGAGAGGGGAGAGGGGAGAAGGGAGAGGGGAGAGGGGAGAGGGGAGAGGGGAGAGGGGAAGAGGGGAGAAGGGAAGTGGGGAGAAGGGAAGAGGGGAGAAGGGAAGTGGGGAGAAGGGAAGAGGGGAGAAGGGAAGTGGGGAGAAGGGAAGAGGGGAGAAGGGAAGAGGGGAGCGGTAGAAGGTGAATGGGGAGCGAGAAGAGGGTTGTGCTCACCTGAGCGCCTTGTGCTCACCTGAGCGCCTTGTGCTCAGCGTCGTGCAGCTGTCTCTTCCTTGTCTGCTGCGCCAACACCTGTGGCGGCTGCATCGCTTCCTCCAACATCTGCCACTGCTGCGCTATCACCGCCCTCACCTCCTCATCCTGCTGATCGTGATGCTCCCCCTCCTCCTCCTTCTCTTGATGCCACTGCTGTGTTAGTGCCTGCGTTGTCTCCTTATTTTCCTCCTCCTCCTCACCCCCTTCCTGCGGATGATAATGTTTCGTCTCCCTTCGTTGCTGTTCCTCCTTTTGCTGCTTCTCCTGACGTTCTTGATTCTGATTATGCTCCTGCTCTTGCTTCTGCTCCTGCAGCAGCTGTTGCTGCTGCTGCAGGTGTGCAGGGGAGGGCGGCAGAGGAGAGGGGGTGTGCGGAGCAGGGCAGGAGAGCGCTGCAGGGTCTGCGGCATCAAGGCGGAATTCGGAGAGACCGGCGGAGGAGTAGTAGCTCCGGTGACTGTCCCCAGTGAGACCAGAGACTGAAGCAGCCCCGGAGTGCGGAGAGATTAAGTGCTGCGGCTGCTCGTTCAGGGTCGTGGGTTGAGTGGCAGCCGAAGGGGAAGGGCTGGCGCTTTGAGGTGGAGAGGCGAGGGGGGGTTGGGCAGGCGTGGGGGGAGATGCAGGCGTCATCACGGGGGAAACTGCGGGCGAGATGCGAGAGGCCGGCATGAGAGGAGCGGCAGCAGCTGGTGCAGCGACGGAGGAAACGGGAAGAAGTTGTGTCGGCAGTGGCAGGAGCGGCAGTGAACTTGTCGCCGGAAACGGCTGCGGTGCGAAGGGCGCCTGGCCTCGAAGAAACTTTCTGCGGAGGGTTCACAGTGGTAGAGAGCGAAGACAGAGGAGTGCGAAGCGGTTGAGTGCGGTGAAGTGGGGTGAGTACTATGAGCACCAGGGTGAATTCTGTGCAATAAGGTGGGTAGAGTGGACAGGGATGATAACGAAGAGCAAAGACGCAGGGTTTAGTTCAGCAGAAGGTATTTACGTCTCTTCTGGCTTCCTGTGCACTTTTTCAGGAGCAGGAAGCAGTTGAAGCAGCCTTCGCGTCACGGCGAGACGATTTTTGAGGCCCCTCAAAATTCGTCTCACAAATTGATTACTACTACTAGTAGCTTCGGGCACACCTTTTGAGCAGCAGGAAGCGGTTGCAGCAGGCCTTGGCATCGCGGTGAGGGGCCAAACGCCTGCTTCGGTGTAAGTCATGCCACTTGGAGCTTCCATGTGTCATGACGTGGTTGAGCAGTATCGTGTCCTCCTGTAACGGGGATTTCGAGAGTGGAAGAATTCGCATTGAGAAAAAATTAGGCCTTCATTCAAGCTCAAAAGGCTAGTACATTTGGCCAGCCAGACTTGCACTGGCCAAGCTTTGTAACCATGCTCTGACAAAGCTTTTTCAGAAGCAAGCTCCGTATAGAAACCTAGCTCTGTTTAAAAGCAAGCTGAAGAATCAGGCTGTCAAAAAACAAGTTCTGTTAGAGATCACCTGCCAAAAGCAGACATGAATTATCGAAAAAAGAAACAGAATTTGTCATAAGCTTCATCAAAACAAAGCTCGTCCAAACCAAGCACAAAACTCTGTCAATAACCACTCTCTGTCTAACACTTTTTCTGTGAATAACCAAGCTCTGACAAATTTAAAAAACCGTCTAACCAACCTCTGTAGAAACCCAGTTCTATGATCAAGCCCAAGCAGAATTCAATTGTGTGTGATCAATGCATGATTTTTAGTACCTCAAAAGTCCATCGTGCAGCATAATGCCGCTGCGTGACATGCGGAGATCTGGCCGCCATCATCATGGCTGTAATATCTCGGCCTGATGAATTCCGAGTGCGGATGGAGAATCCTTCGCTGGTGCCTTGGTAGTAGTAGGCTCCTGAAATTGGCCTGAGCTCAGTGAAAACCAGATATTTTGGTCCAGCTCCGGAGTCTGGATAATCCTGTTCACTCTCCCAGGCACATTAGTAGCACTACTACTTCGTAGGGGCGAGCCCTGCCTTCTCAGAAGCGCAAGCAATGTAGGTTAAGATGAACAGAAGTACTGCCACTGTTCCAGAGGAAGATGGATCGTGGAAGTATTACTAGTACACACGACACGAATGTTTGGAAAAACAGCCTCTGAGAAGAGAAAGACAGAGGGGTTTTGCTCAGTTTTGGCGGCAGAATGAGGATCACCACCACTGGCACACTGATTTCTGCGGCGGGGTGAGGAGGAAATGTGCAAGCCCAGGTGGAAAGCAGGGTAGTGTATCCACGTGGCTGATTCTGATTCCGCCTCTGCCCTTTGGCATTGCTGAAAGGCCCATCACCTGAACAGTTTTTTAGCGGCGCCAGCTCGGCTAGAAGTGGACAAGGCGACGTCGCAATAGCTGATACAGTGGCAGTTACGAGTAGCTGAGCACTAGAACCAATGAGGACCTAGAAAGTTCCCATCACGATGGAAGGCGTGAGAGATATTTGGTGGACAATGCATGCCATGCCGCGGCACTGCACGGCTGGGCCCTGGCACCAAGCGGTGGTTTGTGTGGCAGGTGAGTTCCTCTTCTCTGTTTGCCGGGGCCTGGGACCTTCTGCCTGCCCTACTCGACGTTAGCGGGTTTGAATTTGAAGCTTCGACTTGTGTTTTGGGGAAGAGGCACACTGTACGAGGGCGTTTCCGGTCCGGATAATGTGCACGGCTTGGAGCAGCATGATCCAGGCATGCTTGATGCATCAGCTGTATTACGTTTCAAGCGCTGTGTCTCGCTTGTGCTACTTGCACCACACACATGCCGCAGCAGCGAAACGCATAAGGACCTCCCTGCCAAGCAACAAACAGATCCCAAATTCCCGCACTCAATTTTGAGCTACACCGTGTCTCTGTTGCCCCTGACGTTTCGTTCCCTGGTTTTCCAGCATTTCTACCCGAAAATGTTTCATTACGTGTATTGCACCCCCACAGAGAAATTTCATGCGTCTAGTGAAGGTTCGTTTCAGACAAAACTACCACCGAATTACTTGTCGCTGAGCAAAGAGCTGAGCAGCAACGGGTTGTACAGTCCACAATGTCGGTGATTTTAGGATAACAAATCTCCCCTCTTTGGATTGCGGGGTACAGTACGTACACCTGAAATCGATCAGCTGTGGCCAAGCCAGACAAATCCCATCACGAGTCGCGTAAAATGGCATATGCGAATAAATTCCACAAAAGGCATCTCTTGTTAGCATCGAGTCGCACGCCAGCTAGGCGCCGCACAAGCTTGAGTGGAACGCGTCGAACGGTTGGATCGTCCACATCATCAAACAGAGTGCACGATCGTCGTAGAATGACGCCAGCATCAGCAATGATAAACCCATGTGGCATTTCGGTACACGCTCCATCGCTCGCAAACGAAGTGCGTGTCGCACCTCCAATATCGGACGCGGTACAAGGAAAATCATTTGTGGTGTTTGTTCCCCGACACTAATAACATACACGCGTGCCGAATCCGCTGTGGTGAAAAAAACATTTCTTTGAGTCAAATGTAAAATTCTCCCCCAAATAGCGTAGGCATTTTGTAGCTGAACAAACGATGACCTACCCAGAATTCCAGGCCAGGTGTGTGACATACCAAAAAGTGGAAAGAATATATTCATACTTCAACGAACATCAAAAATTGTAGGATCCACGTACAAAACACATCAGCTGACTAAATTGGCGGAGTTCAAGAGCACAGAATTGTTCCATGTCTGGGGCAGCAGCACACGCTATGGTACCATACTCAGCATGACTGAGTATGGTTTACGACATGTGTTACTTATTTTAACAAGAAAACAAGAGAGGAAGATAATGTAAGGCCTAAGAATCAACCACCGACTGTAGACAGACAGCAGAGGTACCGGTGTTTCTAGGTATCAAACCGACCTTTTCAGATATTTAAGAGGTAACAGCCAAGTATCAAAGGAAGATACCGGCCTTTATAAGGTATCAAAGCCACTGTACGACTTAAGAGGGGGCGCCAAGGAAGGCAGCAAGGCGCAGAAGGTCGCTGAACACACCCCCCGCAGTGACCTCTGCGCCGGCACCAGGCCCGCGGACGATGAGGGGCTGCACGTTGTAGCGGTAGGTGACGAATGAGATGATGTTGTCTGAGCCCACTAGCTGCGTGAAGGCGTGTGTGCGCGGGTACTGGCGCAGCTCCACCCGCCCCTCCCTCTTGTCCATGTCCACCACCCCTACGTAGCGCAGGACCTGGAGGAAGAGGGGGGATGATTGGGCGAGAGGAAGAAAGGGAAAATAGGTCCCGCGGATGAATGATATGGGGTACTGGTACCGCTCCCTGGGTCCATAGCGCAGGACCTAGGGAAGGGGAGGGATGTGTGGAAGGTATGGTAAGAGGACAAGGAGAGGAAACAAAAGAGAGGACGAGAGGAAGCGAAGGGGAGAGGGAGATGAGGTGGAGCAAAGGAAGGAGATGATGTTGTTGGAGGGAACCAGCGGCACCAGCATCTCCAAGGAACACTTGCAACGCACAGGATTGAGCAGGACAGCTCGAGAGCATACAACCTACAGTCGCCGCACCCACACTCACCTCGCCCGTCTCCTCGGCCGCCTTTCTCTTGGCCTCCATCTCATCGTCGAATTCAGGCAGCCGCTGCATGAACTCGTCCACACTCGCCACGTGCTGCCCGACACACGAAGGGGGTGGGGGGGAGAGGAAAGGGGGGGAATAAACGGGGTTGAAGGGGAGTTAGATGCCCTTCAAGAAAGAGAGCTGCTGTTTCAGCCTATTCGTAGATTCTAGTTACCGTAGTGTGTCGTTACACTTATTGAATATAATTGTTGCAACACCTAAAAAGCTCGATTGTCATACCTGGAATGCTTCAACATCGTATCTGACAAGCCTCAATACCATGCCTGAAGAACCTACTGTACCTGGAGAGGCTTGGTACCGTACCTGGAGAGCCTCGGGCACAAGGCTTTGCACGGGTACTTGGTCGAGCTCCAGGCAAAGTCCACACTCCCGAGCCAAGATGACCACCTGTGAGTGGAGAGAGAACAGGGATGAGTGGGGTGGGTGGGGGAGCGAGATGAGTGGGATGAGGAGACAGTGAGTTCCTATATTCTGCCATTTAATCTGCCGTGCTACTATCCTCTCAATGCTCCACCTTCCTGACCTTCCTTTTCACGCCCTCCTCACCTCACCATGCCCATGCGCTCGAGGTCATCTGTAGGGTCCGACTCAATGGATCATTTGCACCCCTCCCATCGCTCCTCTCACCTTCCGCGCCACGTCCATGCCCTCCAGGTCCCTGGGATCAGGCTCCGCAAACCCGTTGGCACGCGCCTCCGCCACGATCAACACTCACCCCATCAGCTACTAAGCGCCCCTCACCAACCCGCATATTCTCTTTCACGCCCTCCTTCTCACCTTCCTGGCCACGTCCATGCCCTCCAGGTCGTCCCTGGGGTCAGGCTCAGTGAACCCGTTGGCGCGAGCCTCTGCCACGATCTGCGAGAAGGGCTTGCTGCCGTCAAAGTTGTTGAAGATGTAACTCAGCGTGCCGCTGGGAGGGGGAAAGGAAGGAGGGGTTAAAGGGGGAAAAGGGGGAGGGGGGGAAGAGTAAGTGCGGAATAGGGGGGAAATAGGAGCGGAGGAGGTGTGAGAGGTTTCGTGCGCAAACGGGAAACACTTCACACGCTCAATGGGAGACCATCTCCCAACAAAAGTTGCCTCAGATGCAGTGCATGCACATGAGTCAAGCAGCCACTTGGGATTGCTTACTATGCCTGCTATACACGTGCAGTCGCCTACCTCTCATCCATGGCTCATCTGAAGATGCCCTCGATGCAGTGAATGTGATTGCCTGTGTCCAACGGCCCCTTGAGCGTCGCCACAATGGGCAGCTCTTGGGAGCGCCTACAACACACTGCTACGTGCATGCGAGCACACACCACAAGCATCCACTCGTATCCCACTGCACACCTGAAGTTGCCTTCGATGCGCTGAATGTGGTCGCCCGTGTCCAGCCCCCCTTGGGTGTCGCCACTATGGGCAGCCCTTGCGCCATACAGCCACATTCCACCCCACACACACCCACACCATGAGTTCAACAGGCCCACTAGCAGCCCTATTCCCCACCCCTGAAGTTGCCTTCGATGCAGTGAATGTGGTCACTCGTGTCCAGCAGCCCCTTGGGTGTCGCCACGATGGCAGCCCGTGGGAAAGCGCCTACAACTTGTAGCTATGTATCGCGAAGCGAGCACACCACAAGCATCCACCCATATCTCTCTGCATCCCTCTGCACACCTGAAAATGCCTTCAATGCGGTGGATGTGGTCGCCCGTGTCCAGCAGCCCCTTGAGTGTCGCCACGATGGGCAGCCCCGCCCCCACAGTGGCCTCATACAGGTAGTGCGTGCAGAGCTCGCGCTGCAACTGGCGGATCTTGAGGTACTGGAGGAGGGGAGACATAGGGCAAGAAAGAGGTGGGAGAGACGGGTGGTGGGGAGGGAAGGATGAGCGGGCAGTGGTGCGACACCGGCTCCCACGGTAGCCTCATGCAGGTAGTGCGTGCACAACTCGCGCTGCAGCTGACGAATCTTGAGGTAATGGTGGAGAGGAAGGGAAGGGAAAGGGATGGAACGGGGGAAGGAGTGGACGGAGTTTGTGAACAGAGAGGTGGGAGGAGGGGAGGTATGGCATGGCACTAGCCCGGCTCCCACAGTGGCCTCGTACAGGTAGTGCGTGCAGAGCTCGCGCTGCAACTGACGGATCTTGAGGTACTGGAGGCAGCGTGGGGAGGGTAGGAGGAGGAACGGGGAGAAAAAGGTTCGGTGCTGTGCGAATCGTGCAACGCAGCACCTGCAGCTACGTGCCTTTTGAGACGTCTCAAAAGTTGCAACGTGGCACCTGCACTGCAGCCACGATGGGTAGTACAGTCCACCACCACCAGCCACGATGGGCGACCCGCTAGAGACGCCCTAGGGAGCCGCACCCCTGCACTTTGACCGTCTAGCCCTCTAGTGTCTCGAGTGTTATCAGTGGCCGTACCTCTTTAAGAGGCCCGGAATTGGCCTTCTTGTTGGGGGTGACCACGTGAAGCCCCTCAGCGAGCCACGTGGGGTATTTGTCCGCCACGTCGCTGCTGGCAGTGCAGTCCACCACCACCGTGTTGGGCAGCCCGTGGTGGCCGTCCATCAGCGACGCCTCGAACGCCACCATGTCTGCTGCCTCGCCTCTGGTTTCCAGCTCCTCCCGCCAGTTGCTCAGGTGCACGCCCCTGGGAGGGGAGCAAAGGGGGTGTGGGGCAGATGGGAGAGAGCAAGGACGTTTAGGGGCTATAGGAACCGGCGGGGAGGGAAGGCTTGAGGAGAGTTGGGAGGAGGCGGGAGGGGCGAGTGAGGGGGTGCTCGCTGCTGGCAGTGCAGTCCACCACCACCGTGTTGGGCAGCCCGTGGTGGCCGTCCATCAGCGAGGCTTCGAATGCCACCATGTCTGCTGCCTCGCCTCTGGTCTCCAACTCCTCCCGCCAGTTGCTCAGGTGTACACCCCTGGGAGGGAAGCACAGAGAGTGGGAGTGCGGAGGGTGGGGGCCAGCGGAGAAAATGAGGGCAGCCCGTGGTGCCCGTCCATCAGCGACGCCTCGAATGCCACCATGTCCGCCGCCTCGCCTCTGGTCTCCAACTCCTCCCGCCAGTTGCTCAGGTGCACGCCCCTGGGAGGGTAGGGGAGGTGTGGTGTGGGAGGGGCAAGGGAGTATTTGAGCAGCTGGCGAAGGGAGGGGGGGGGAGGGAGACGAAGAGCGAAGAGCAACTGCTGCAGGGCAGCCCACCACCTCCGAGTTGCACCGCCCATTCTCCCCCGTCTGGTGAATTCGACTAAACTCACACCCCCATCGCCCTCACATATCATTCAATAACATCCTATTCGCCCCCAATAATGACACCCCACCACATCAGTCTCTCCCTCCCCCCGCACCCACCTCCAATCCCCTCCCAAAACATACTCGTCCTCTGCTCCCTGATTTGACGTAATCCACCACAGCCCACCCCGAATCCCCGCCCCCCCCCTTCCCCTCAACCGCCCTCACCTGTTATCGATGAGCATCCTATTCGCCCCGATGATGCCCAACACGCCCTCTGGTCCCGTAACTCAACCACCCTCTGGCTTCAGCCCAAGCACCCACAGTACCGCCCTCACCTGTTATCGATCAGCATCCTGTTCGCCCCGATGATGCCCACCACGCGCATGTCAACGCTAAACTCCTTCTTCAGGCTCGCCCGCTGGTCCCTGATCTGATCCACCCTTGGCACACCCAGAGCAGCACACTGACCCCCGCTGGCCCCCACCGCTCACCTGTTATCAATGAGCATTCTATTCGCGCCAATGATGCCCACCACGCGCATGTCAACGCTAAACTCCTTCTTCAGACTCGCCCGCTGGTCCCTGATCTGATCCAGCAGCGTGCTCCCAATCAGCCCCGGGCCAATCAGCGCCACCGCCAGCGGAATCTGCGAGTGGTAGAACCGCCCGTGCGCCGCCCGCAGCGCCGCCACCGCATCACTCCGATCGACCACGACAGTGATATTATACTCGGAGCACCCCTGCGCAATCGCACGCACGTTCACCCGCGCCTTGGCCAGCGCCGCGAAGAGAGCAGCCGAGACCCCCGGAGTGCTGGCCATGCGCTGCCCGACGGCTGCGAGGACTGTGCAGTGCGGGATGACTTCGATATCGTGCACGCGATTAGATTCGATTGCGCGGCGGAAGGTGGTGCGCAGTGCGGCGGCCACCATGTCGGCCTCGGGTTCTGGGACGGCGAAGCAGACGGAGTGCTCGGAGGAGGCCTGCGAGATGGCGATGACGTTGGCCCCCACGTTCTTGACTGAGTTGAAGATCTGACTGGCGATACCGGGGACTCCTGCCATGCCCGTGCTGGGTGGGGCGAGAAAGGGGGGGGTAGAGGAGGGGGAGAGAGGAGGGGAAGGGAGAAGAGTGAAGGGAAAGGGGAGAAGGGGAAGGCAGCAAGGAGAGAAGAAGATTTGTTAGTAAGGCTGCCAGATGGTGTGGTTGGGAAGCACTCAGAGTGCTCCGAGGGGGCCTGCGAGATGACGATGACCTTGGCCCCCACGTTCTTGACTGAGTTGTGAGCCGCTCGTGCTCCTCGTCCGAGAAGGCGTCGTGGGAGCGGACGGACACCCTGGCACCCTGGCACCCTGGCACAATGGCACCCTGGCACCCTGGCACCCTGGCACACTGGCACACTGGCACACTGGCACCCTGGCACCCTGGCACCCTGGCACCCTGGCACCCTGGCACCCTGGCACCCTGGCACACTGGCACACTGGCACCCTGGCACTCTGGCACCCTGGCACAATATGAGGCCTGAACCAAACCCAACTACTCACCCAGCCACGTTGACGAGCGCCACGTTCTCAATGGTAGCGAAGCCCTTGACGACGGCGTCAAGCGGATCTGTCCCCTCCTCCAGCAGCTCGTTGTGCGCCGCCTCGTGCTCCTCGTCCGAGAAGGCGTCATGGGAGCGGCCGATGCGCGTGCCGGGCGCCGTGGGGTTGAAGGCGTTGCGGATGAACATGGGGATGGCGTACTTCATCACCGGCAGGGTGGTGCGCGGGTGGAGGACGTTGGCTCCAAAATAAGACTGCAAACATAGGGGGAGAGGCAGGAAACAGGGTGGAATGCATTGCGGATGAACATGGGGATGGCGTACTTCATCACTGGGAGGGAGGTGCGCGGATGCAGCACGTTGGCTCCGAAGTAGGACTGTTGAGAGGGTGATTTGCAGGAGGGGAAAGGGAGGGCGGAAGTGGATGCTATGTAGTGTTGCTTGATACTACTAGGCTAGGTTATGTGATGGAATGCTGTATCACGCTGTGGTGTGGATCGTAGTGCCTCAGCATGCTATAACATGATCTTCTAGGTTTACCACCTCCAAGGTGCCACACCACATACCCCATACCCTATATCCCATAGCCCATACCCCATACCCTATATCCCATAGCCCATACCCCATACCCTATATCCCATAGCCCATACCCCATACCCTATATCCCATAGCCCATACCCCATACCCTATATCCCATAGCCCATACCCCATACCCTATATCCCATAGCCCATACCCCATACCCTATATCCCATAGCCCATACCCCATACCCTATATCCCATAGCCCATACCCCATACCCTATATCCCATAGCCCATACCCCATACCCTATATCCCATAGCCCATACCCCATACCCTATATCCCATAGCCCATACCCCATACCCTATATCCCATAGCCCATACCCCATACCCTATATCCCATAGCCCATACCCCATACCCTATATCCCATAGCCCATACCCCATACCCTATATCCCATAGCCCATACCCCATACCCTATATCCCATAGCCCATACCCATACCCTATATCCCATAGCCCATACCCCATACCCTATATCCCATAGCCCATACCCCATACCCTATATCCCATAGCCCATACCCCATACCCTATATCCCATAGCCCATACCCCATACCCTATATCCCATAGCCCATACCCCATACCCTATATCCCATAGCCCATACCCCATACCCTATATCCCATAGCCCATACCCCATACCCTATATCCCATAGCCCATACCCCATACCCTATATCCCATAGCCCATACCCCATACCCTATATCCCATAGCCCATACCCCATACCCTATATCCCATAGCCCATACCCCATACCCTATATCCCATAGCCCATACCCCATACCCTATATCCCATAGCCCATACCCCATGCATCATGTCCGTGCCCCATGCCCCATGCTGATGCAACGTCTCACGGCTTACCAGCTCCCACGCCTCTTGGTAGGAGAGGTTCTTGAGAATCACAGCATCAGGCACTGGAGACGGAGCGAGTGGGGAGGAGGGGGCGAGAGGGGGAGAGGGGAAGAACAAGGAATGACGAGAGAGACAAGTGAGGGAGTAGGATATGCATGGTGGCTTACGGGGGAGTAATGCTGTAGCTCATGAGCTAAGAGGGCCCCCCACCCTCTTCCTTCTCTCTCCCCCTTACACTCTCACACTCGCACACACCTTTCCTAGGGTCAGCGGAGTAAACCCCATCCACGCCCGTCCAGATGATCACCCTTTCCGCTCCCAGCAGTAACCCAAAGGGGATGACCCCAAACCCTTCCCTTCCCCCTCTCCCCAACGCCACTCACCTTTCCGGGGGTCAGCGGAGTACACGCCATCCACGTCCGTCCAGATGATCACTCTCCCAGCGCGCAGCAGCGACCCAAAGATGGCCGCAGACAGGTCACTGCCGTCCCTCTTGAGCGTGGTGGGCACGCCGTCCTCGGTGCGCGCAATGAACCCCGTCGCCACCACTAGGTCCGGGCCCCCGCCCTCATAGTGCCCGTCATCGCCACGAGCGGCGTACCACGCGTGAAGGTTCTCCTCACAGCGCTCGTAGTTGGGGTCCACCTGGGGTGGGGTGATGGAGGAACACGGACACGGGGACGCCCAGGAAACAGTGATTGGGGGGCAGGGGTGGAGAGAGGAGGAAAAGGGGTGGTGGGCACGCCGTCCTCTCTGCGCGCGATGAACCCCGTCGCCACCACCAGGTCCAGGCCCCCGCCCTCGTAGTGCCCGTCATCGCCACGAGCGGCGTACCACGCGTGCAGGTTCTCTTCGCACCTCTCATAGTTGGGATCGACCTCGGGTGGGGTGATACGGTACGTGGTACATGTATGAGGTGATTGATTGCCGCCCCACACATGGCTGCCATCCAGACTTGTACGGTGAACCTGACAGCTGCTTACAACTCTACCTGACTACGCAGTCCATAATTTACCAACTTACAAAATTTCCGCCCAGAACTGCACCTGGCTGCCGCCCAGAATATCCCATCGTACCTGACTGCCGCCCAGAATATCCCATCGTACCTGACTGCCGCCCAGAATATCCCATCGTACCTGACTGCCGCCCCAAAATCAATCACCGTACCTGATTGCCGCCCTCTGCTGGGTGCACCACGAGCACGTCGCGCGCATCCATGAACGCCACCTTCTTGCCCGTCACCTGAAAAGGGGGGAGGAGGGGGGAGAGGAAGAAACCGAAAAATAAGGGGGGCCGCAGGAGGAACAGGCGATGGAGAGGGAGCGGACACAGCATTGGGGCGCACGACCTATTGCTCTGTGCACACAGCCTACCACACAATGAAGCCGCCAGCGCGTTGTGAGCGCATCACAGAAGAAGTAATCCCAGGATTCCACATTCTGTGCCTTGTGCAAGAACTCTCACCTTCTGCAGCGTGGCGGTGAGGATCATGGCGGACCAGAGCTCGCCGTGCCCCACGATGAAGTCCGTGAAGATCTCCGTCGAGGTCCCCGCTGGCAGCGGCACAGGAAGGGTAGAGGGAGGGAGGGGAGGGGATACAGGGGGAAAGCAGCGGATGAATATCTCCGAGGAGTCGCCCGGTGGGGAGAAGGGAAGAGAACCGGGGGGGATGGGGTAGGGGGAAGGGAGAAGGCGGAGGACAGGTGAGAGCGGGAGGGGAGTATAGAGGAGAACCATTGAACACGGGTTTTTACACGGCTTGAAGGTTCACTAGGTCCTTGTTGATATTTCACATCCCTATCTTACAGTTCCCATGCCATCACCGCTCAGAAGCACTCACCAATGGAGAGTGCTGTCAGCAAGGCTTTAAGGTTGACCAGGCCGTCGTCGGTCCGATCCATATCCTTAACCCTATAACACTCACCGATGGAGATGGCTTTGAGCATGGCTTTAAGATTGATCAGGTCCTCGTCGATGCGCTCCAGGATCTTCTTCGTCTCCTCGTCCTCCTCCCCCAGCAGCTCCGCCGCTGCCGCGCGGTGCTTCTCGCGCAGCTGCGCTATAAGCTCCGCCCACCCGCTCGAGTCTTTCGCGGCCGCCTTGTCCAATAACGAGTACAGAATGTTGGTGACCTTGGGAGTGCCGCCCATGGCCGACACGACGACGAAGCGACGCTCCGCGGGGTCGCTGGCGACGATGCGTGCGACGTTGAGGATTCGCTCGGCGGATCCCACGCACGTGCCGCCGAACTTGTGCACGGACCAGCTGCCGCCCTGCGGCATGGTCATGTCGGCCACCTCAAAGTCCGTGTTGATGTCCTCTGGAGGGACGGGAGAGGAAGGGCCCCACAAGGGAGCGGACGGCATGAGGCAAAACACAGACCCACGCACGTGCCGCCGAACTTGTGCACGGACCAGCTGCCGCCCTGCGGCATGGTCATATCTGTCACCTCGAGATCCGTGTTGATATCCTCTGGGAGGGACGCAGGTGTGGGAGAGAAGGGAACCGGTGCAAAGAGAAACAGCTCTGCGATGATGCCCCCTGAGAGCCAACCGCGCGTTCGAATGTAAGAAAATCGGAGAAAATGGGAGAACTAGGGGTTCGACGGATATCCTGTCACTACTCGCTCTAATGGAAATCACTCCAAGACGCATTTTTTGAGAAAGCAAACCAGAATCTGGAGGTCTTGACTCTGAGGTGCTTAAAAAACACATTCTGAAGGCACATTCCGTGAGTCGACCCTGCAGGTCTAGAAGAAAATTCGGCTTTGGACATGGCAGTGCGGCTTCTGTGGTGCGAACAGATGCTTTCGTTAGGGTGCGGCAGTAGCCCCACCTAGCCCTAGGTTACGGCATCTTTTCAAGGGAGACAAACGAAGGAATTCATGGACGAGGTACCGGTTGAAACCCGTGTCGTCTCAAGGAGGATCAGACGCTTACCGGCAATAGCGGCGCGAACCGCGGTAGAGGGACGCGATGCAGGCACAGGAGCAGCCCTAGCGGTACTGCATTGGAGGAGTGGGGAAGGCAGGTGAAATAGAGAGGATGTCAGAAGTGTATTCTTGAGAAGCCCTAAAAAAAGACGCGATGCAGGCGCGGGAGCAACCGTAGCGGTACTGCATTTGTGGAATGGGAAAGGCAGGTCAGACCGAGGAGATGTCAGAAATCTCGAGAAGCAGGCCTACGTTGCCGGCACTACCTAGGTTCAGAGTGGGTATGTGCCCACGGAGTAAACCGGAGAAACACGGATAACAAGACAAGTTTGAATAGCGAATACGGAGTTGAAACACCTTAGTGATCGAAAAAGCAGGGGAGGATGAAGGGGGGAAAAGGTTAGGAAAATAAGGCCGTAAGAACATCCGCATTATCATCCGCATTCTCGGTTTCTTCCGAAGATCAGCCACATTCACCACACAAGCGACAGAAGAAGACATCCTGGGTGTAAAGCAAAACAGGATATGCTTCGCAGCAATGAAACACGCACGGTTACATTCTTTGCAAGCTGAGCGCGTCCTATACAGAATAAGGACAGTGGCGTGTTATGTTCAGCGCACTCACCCCTTGAGCTTCTGCTTCGCGGCAGACTTGTTCGTTTTAGAAGCCTTGAGTCCATTGAATAATGGGAGAGCGCTTTCTTTAGTGGCGACCGTCGGGACGGATTTGACAGGCGTGAGTCCAAACACCTTGGCACACTGGAGAGCAGCCATGGTTTCGTGATGACCCCACTATCTAAGCTTTTCCAATGTGCAGCGACCTGGATCGGCAATGACAGATCGTATTGCTGTGCCGAGAGCTCTGCAAGTCACAGATGTAAGATCCTGTGACGAAGTTATCGACTGGAGGGTCTTCACAGAATCCGGAAGGACAAGAAGAAACGCTTCAGTGGGTTTGTTGGTGTCGCCTTGTACTAGCAGCCTTGGGATCAGCAGAGTTGGGAATATAGAACAACGAAGAAATCTGCTCGATGCGAAAGCTGTGCGAAACGAATTGAGAAAATACCATGCTGCGTCGACTTCTCGTAACGGAAAGGAAACTCACGGCGACGAGGATTGACCCCGCATTCAGGACAGGTGAGCAAAGAGCTCCATCTTCACTGGATGAGGCTGAATGCCACGTTGGCTGCAGCCGAATCTGCACCCAGCTATTCGCGCGGGAAGGCCGCCTCGTACTTGAAGCTCTCTTTTCATTAGCTGCGACAAGCCACCGTTCGTTCGTAACTGGATGTTCGAAATCAAGTGCCAAATCAGCTCAATCGGACGATTTCGTAAACCAATCAAAGTATAAGCTCTCCGAGAAATGCTGGAAAGCACTCGGCGCCGAACAGGAACTGTTGGTCCAGTCGCCTTCCACGGCAGCACGTGACAGGCTGGCGGAACTTCTGGATGTAGCCAGATCAGCAAAACCATCCAAAAATCCAGCGACATTCACATGTGCTAGTCATGTGATTTGTTATTGTAACATCAACACTTCTTGATTACACTTCCCTAATTACATTCAAGGTAGCACACTCAATGCATATTGAGAAGTTTATGAGTATGTGTGTATATACATTCCTTTGCAACAACAAAATCGTACAAGAAATGCAGTCAAGCACTTGTTCTCTTAACAATAGCACTATCGCCTACAGCCATATTGACCTCTCTTGCTCCTTGCCCTTCTTTCCTGCTGGGTCGGCTAGTTTTGGCAGCAGGTGCACTAGTCGGGGATCTCTGGGTGGCAGACACAAGATACTCCTCCAACCTGAGCACATCCGCGCCCTCACTGGCGGACAAAAACGGAACAGTAGACTCGCACAAGGCGACAAACGCAGAGAACGGGGCGGCACGAATCCCAAGCGAAACCATTTCCCTCGCAACCACTTCCCTCTCTCCCAATCTCTCCCCTCCAGCTCCCATCCTCCCACCACCACCACCGCCGCCACTGCCGCCGCCGCCACCACCACCACCACCACCTCTCCCGTTCCCCGCTCCTCCCAAAAGTGCTCGCCCCAAACTCTCCATCACCTTACCCAGATTTTCCACGTCCCTCTGCTTGCCACTCCCAAACCGCACCAAAGCAGCGCCACTATCAACTGGTTCGAGCTCCAGGGGAGTGTTACGGCCCAGGGCCCCCCGCAGGAGGAAGCGCAGACGCTGGTGGGGGAGGGAGGGGGGTAGGCCCCACAGGAAGAGCACGTTGGAACGATCCTCCTCTTCCCTGTCACTGCTGCTGCTGCCACTGGTGCTGCTGCTGCTGGTGGTGGTGTGCCTAATGGGGGAGAAGGAGGAGGAATATGAGGTTCCAAGCGAGAGAGTATCAGGGGAGGGGAGGAGGGGGGCAGCACGGGAGCCAATGGCAGCGTGCCCCGTGGCGAGGTCCAGGTGGATGTCCCGTGCACCCTTGCCTATGAGCGTCGTGATGTTGGATAGGCCAGCCACTGCTGTTTCTGCAGCTAAATGTGCTGATTCCGATGCTGCTGCTGATTGTTCTGATTCTGATGCTGCTCGCCCTGATGCTTGTGCTGAGACTGTAGGCGTTTCTGCCACGACTGCGCTTCCATCGCTGCTCTCTTCACTGTGCTCCCTGTCAGTCCCTATCCTCCCACCACTGACAACCCCCTCTCCTCGCCTCCACCTCTCCACCACCCATCTCCTCCCTTCCCCCTCTCTCCCAAACTCACCTCTCCCCACCCCGTCTCCCTCCCCTTCTCCTTCTCCCCGTCTCCCTCTCCTCTCCTCTCTCCACCTCCCTGCCTCCTCCCTTGCAGCGGCAGCAGCAGCAGAAGCGGCAGGGGGGAGGGAGGAGAGGCGGTGGGGGGAGAGTCCAAGGCGGTGGCAGGCTTGGGCGAACACCACTCCTGTCATGAACGCATCGTATGCTGCCTCGTGCCTCGGATCCTGGCCGTTGGATGCGGAATATCTGACGGTCGAGATGGGTGGAGGGGATTTGGGAGTTGGTGGGGGACGGGATAGGGGGGGGGGGGGGGGGGGGGGAAGAAACAGTGAGACCCAAGGCGAAGGGGAGGGAGGAGAGGCAGTGGGGGGGGAGACCGAGGCGGTGGCAGGCTTGTGCGAACACCACTCCAGTCATGAACGCATCGTATGCTGCCTCGTGCCTTGGATCCTGGCCGTTGGATGAGGAATATCTGACGGTTGAGAGGGAGTGAGAGAGACAGAACTATGTGAATGTGCAGCGTGAGGGGTGGAGCGTAAGTGGAGGGCCCGGATGGCATCTCTGCAGTTATGGTGTGTGGAAATCTTTGGAGATGTCTCAAAACGCTACTTTTATCACATCTCTGCAGTTATGGTGTGTGGGAATATCTAGAAATGTCACAAAACGCGGCTAGAAAAAATGGGGGATAGCATGCCGTTAGTTCTAGGCAAACTATGTTAGAAGATTCACAAAGCACAGTTGAAAGAAGTGGGGGAAGGCATGGGGAATAGCATGCTGCCAGTTACAACACCTGGCCTCACTCTTCCTTCTTCTCTCATCCCCCCCTCTCTTCCTTGCGACCCTCTACTCTCAACCCCCCTTCCCCCCCCCACCCCCTCCCTCCTCACCTGCCAGCCTCGTGACTGAACCGCACCCATATGGGAACCCCATGAGATTGAAAATTGTTTCTGAGAAGTCTCTACTGCTCTACTCTCCCCTCCTCTCTCCCCTCCTTTCTCCCCCTCTTCTCTTCCCCCTCTCCCTTCTCACCTGGCAGCCTCATGACTGAAATGCACTCGCATGGGCGCAGAGTTGACTTTTGAGTTGACTCAAAAGTCCACTCGTTACAATGCCATTTTAAGGTCAACTCGCCTCCCTCCCTTCTCCCCCTCTTCTCTTCCCCCCCTCCCTCTCTCACCTGGCAGCCTCATGACTGAAATGCACTCGCATGGGCGCCCCATCCACAAACGGAAGGTTCCTGGAAGTATCATACAGAGCGCCGAGCGACGCCCGCCTGTTGGTGCTCGCAGCTTCCTGGAAGGTCCAAGGTCAAGGGAAGAAGAGAGGGAGGCGGTTGGTCGGATTGGAGACAAGGGAAGAGAATAAATTCGCTTTGTGACGCCTACTTTTGAGACATCTAAAATCTCAGAACCTTGAGACGCCTAGAAATGAATCATTTCACGCCACTTGCAGCTTCCTCTTACAACGTCAAAGAGAGACAGGAAGGCGGTCGGTTAGAGGCAAGGGAAGACACATAGAGACTTGTGAGCCAACTCAGCAGTCGCCAAGGGCAGAGGAAACGGAGGTCGATTGGACACGAGTGCCAACACGTTCTTGTACCACCTGCATTGCATTCCACCATTTCAAACCGTGTCTCACCCCCTTTGAGGTGCCTCAAAAGTCCGAACACCAGCATCTAGGTGACTTTTGAGTCGACTCAAAAGTCACCTTGTACCACCTGCATTGCATTCCACCACTTGAAACCGCGTCTCACACCCTTTCAGGAGCCTCAAATGTCGTCTCGTGGAGACGAGACGAACACCAGCATATTTTTGTACCACCTGCGTTTCACCATTTCAAGCCACGTCTCAAACCTGCTGCAAACACACCTGTGCTAGAAGCGAGGCAGCAGCAAGGCAACTGGTGTCAAAGAGAGCAGGGAAGAGCCGGCAGACTTCGCGAGAGAAGAGCGACGGGGAGGGCGGCACATGACCCACAAACTTGTGCAGAATGTGAGCGAGGTCTGCGTGGGTGGGGGACGGGTAAGATGGGGACGGATGAAATCAGTGGGAGGACGGCGATGCTGTAGGTGAGAGGGAGGGCGGCACATGGCCCACAAACTTGTGCAGAATGTGGGCGAGGTCTGCATGGGATCATAGACAAGAGGGAATGTAAGGGTGTAAGTAGTGAGGGCGAGAATGCTGTGTGTTTGAATGGAAGGGAAGGCAGGGAGGGCGGCACACAGCCCACAAACTTGTGGAGAACGTGAGAGAGATCTGCGGGTGTAGGGCTGGAAAAAACGGGGAGGAAGGACGGTAACCCAAGCCTCATTTTGGAGTGGAGGACGACGATGGTGATGCTGAGAGGTAGGGCGGCACGCAACACACGAACTGGTGGAGAATGCGAGAGAGGTGTGGGTGGGTATGTAGAAGAACAAGACAGGGACGCGAGTATGCTGAATGAACTGGGTGTTTGAGAGGGCGGTCTACATTCGGCCCACAAACTTGTGGAGAAAGTTAGAGAGATCTGGGTGGGTGTGAGGCGGGAGGAAAGGGGAGGACATGCACAGAGGGGAGGGTGAAGATGTAGTGCTGAGAGCGACGGTGGGCGAAGGAGAGGCGTGTCTGTGATAATGTGTGTGTGGGTGGGAGTGTGTGTGTGCGGGAGTGTGTGTGTGGGAGTGTGTGTGTGCGGGAGTGTGTGTGTGGTAGTGTGTGTGTGGTAGTGTGTGTGTGGTAGTGTGTGTGTGGTAGTGTGTGTGTGGTAGTGTGTGTGTGGTAGTGTGTGTGTGGTAGTGTGTGTGTGGTAGTGTGTGTGTGGTAGTGTGTGTGTGGTAGTGTGTGTGTGGTAGTGTGTGTGTGGTAGTGTGTGTGTGGTAGTGTGTGTGTGGTAGTGTGTGTGTGGTAGTGTGTGTGTGGTAGTGTGTGTGTGGTACTGTGTGCATGAGAACCTACCAAGGAAGCAAGAGTGCACCACGCGCTGTGTTCCCTGACACGTCAGAACATGGGCGTCCACTCCACCACTCGCCTCACCCATAGGGCACTCCACTATTGGAACGCCACTGCAACCTACCCCATGACTATTGGAACGCCACTGCAACCTACCCCATGACTATTGGAACGCCACTGCAACCTACCCCATGACTATTGGAACGCCTCAAAACACCTACCAAGGAAGCAGGAGTGCGCCACAAGCGGCTTATCCTGGCACGCCAGAGACAAGGCATCCACCACTCGCCTCACCCCCACTGCTCTGCGCACCACTGCTGCTGCTCCCGCCTGCCGCAGCTCCAGTAGGCGCTTCTGCAGGCAGAGCAGCACACAGAGGACAGGAAACACGGGGGACAACATGCGTGGTTCACCCTTGCATGGTAGAGCCAGCAAAGGCGTCCACCACTCGCTTCACCTTCACTGCTCTGCGCACCACTGCTGCTGCTCCCGCCTGCCGCAACTCCAGTAGCCGCTTCTACAGAGACACACACAGGAGGAGCGGGGGGGGGGGAACATGGCACACGGTGCATGTTTTATTATCCTGGCATGGTAGAGCCAGCAAAGGCACCCACTACTCGCCTCACCCCTACTGCTCTGCGCACCACTGCTGCTGCTGCCTGCCTGCCGCAGCTCCAGCTGAGGCAACAGCATGCAGTGCAGTGGGGAGGAGAGCAAGCATTCAGAGCATGGGAACGTTGACGGAATGTGTGCGTTACTGCAGGTGCAGTGAAATGGAGAATGGTGACATGACAAAGGGAGTGAGTTACTACTTTCCCTCCCCGACAGTCCCTCAACTGCAGTCAGTCCCCCTCCCCTTGCCCATTTTTCAGTCGTCTAAAAGACATGCGCATATATATACATATATATATGTACATACATATATACAAATCAATATGCGCATATATGTTATATTTATGATGTGTACTCACCTGCACCCTCTCAGCCTCCTCCTTTGATTTGCACAGGAAGAGCCGAACTTTCTTGTACGCACCAATCCGCTCCTCATGCGACGCCAGATAGGGGTGCTTATGACGAATTGCCTGTAATTGAAGGCCCAGGCATTGGGCAAAAAAAAGGGGGGGGGGGGGGGGGGGGGGAGGGAAAGATGGCGCAAGGAAGTGAAGTGATAACCAGCCAGTTTTTATGTTGACCAAAACATGTCAGAGTGATTGAAAATGTCAGCAAACGGAAAAGGAAATGTATCACGCAAAGTAGGTGGCAGAGCTTATGAAGTGCCTCCAGCAGAACTCGTGTTGAAAACGATGTGGCAAGGCATCGGATGGCATCCTCCCTCGAAGCTCTTGAAGAGGCGAAACAAGAGATGCAGGAGCAGGAAGGGAAGATTCAGAAGCAGGAAGAGTAGCTTCAGGAGCTTCGAGGGTGGATGGCTACAGAGGAGGAGGGGAGCTGCTGAACCATCCTCCCTCGAACTCCTGAAGCTGCTCTTCCTGCTCCCGGATCTTCCCTTCCTGCACCTGCATCTCTTGTTTCGCCTCTTACGCTGCTCTTGTTGATGGCCTGTTGTTGACAAACAATAGCGTGGCATGGCATGGCATGGCATGGCATATCATACCAAGGTACATCACCTCACCTGGTCGGCAGCATGGCAGTTAAATGCGTCGTTGATTCGAAGAGAGAGCCACGGCCTCTTCCCAACCACTGCTGCTGCTGCTCCCATCCTCTCCCAAGGAATGGCATGGCCTGGCATGACATGGCATGGAATGTCATACCAAGGCACACAGCACCTCACCTGGTCGGCAGCGTGACAGTTGAAGGCATCATTTATTCGAAGAGAGAGCCACGGCCTCTTCCCAACCACTGCTGCTAACGCAGGCTGTAAACCACTGCTGCTGCTGCTCCCGTCCCCTCCCACACCCCTTACCGCAGCCTCCCGTGAAAATCCCTCTGGACCCTCCCCAAGCACACTACTCGCAACGCCCTTTGCCAAAGGCTGCTCCTCCTGCTGCTCCTGCTCCACCTCCTGTGCTGCTGCTCTGAGTTGCGCGAGCCACAGGTCAACGCGGGCCAGGCTCTTCACTGCAAACTGCACGCCGGGGAATGGCGGGCTTGACGGGTCGCTCCTGTCGCTGCTGTCCCGCCAGCTGTACCTGCTTGTGCTGCTGGTGCTTGTGCTGAATTGCGTGTGATTGGTGGGCTGTGCCACGTCAGCAGCTCCTTTTTGGCTGGGGCCTACGGTTATATTGGTGGCTGTTGCTGATGGGGGAGGGATCTCGAGAAAATTCCATGCGGCTTCCTCTTGCTCGTAGGACAGGTACGAGATTCCTGCGGAAATGGACGGATGAGATTGCATCAGAGGTTCGGGGATGGGATGGGGAACGGCACGGATTCATGCATGAATTCATGGATGCATGGAGGCATGACCATCATACTCACTCGCAAAAACCATCACCCACCATGCTCCACCCATCAGCACCACCACCCACCATGGTGCACCCAGGAGTTGATGTCGAGGTGGTGTGCTGCCAGGAAATCTAATGAGGATGGCTGGCACTGGAAGGAATGAATCACAGGCACCTCACACCACACCACCACCCCCGACCACTCATCACCCATCCCCCCACCCACCACCCACCGCCACCCACCGTGCTGCACCCAGGAGTTGAAGTCGAGGTGGTGTGCTGCCAGGAACTCCAACGAGGACGGCTGGCACTGGAAGGAGAGCGCCGGCACGCCCTTAAAGCCCGGGATCTCCGACCGGGGGAACACCTTGAAGTTGAACCTGGATACAGGGGACGGGGAAGGGGTGGGGTAGTGGTGGATGGGGGAGGCTCTAAAGAGGACGGCTTGCTGTTGCTGCGACCTTGACTAGCAAGGCAAAGGGAATCTAACTCACGGTGAACAGTAAATTCCCTTTGCTGCTCATCCCACTTGAACGTGCACACACGCCTAGTTACAATACATCACAGTGAACCAGACAGAAACACGACTCACGGGTGAACGATAAACTCTTTCCTCCCTTGGTCCCACTTGAAAATGCACACGCCTAGCTGCATCACTGCAAACTGCATGGCGCTGTGCCACCCGTGCAGGCTCTCACTCACACGGGTACTGCTTACTTGAACATGCTCACGCTCAGGTGCATCATGCATCAAATTATCCGGGTACTCACTTGAACGAGATTATACAAGGATGCTTACGGGTGAACGATGAACTCTTTCCTCCCTTGGTCCCACTTGAACGTGCACACGCCCAGCTGCATAACTGCGAATTGCATCGCGCTGTGCCGCCCGTGTAGGAACCGCGTTGCTACAGTGTCCGAATGCAACGGTCGCCTGAACGACCCCGAATCCAGACCGCTCATTTCCAGATCCAGACAAACGAAGTCAGCCGCTTGCAGCGCGGGTTGGAATTGGGTTTCAAACACTTCCTCAAAGTTCTCGCGGGTTACCGAGGCTACGGTCAGGTTCGGAGGCAGGTCCGGGGGCTGGTGCCGAGGCTCGGGTTTGGGTTGTGCCGAGCCTGGCAGATGGATGGTGGAGCTGCTACGGCGACCAGCGGCTATTGCCGGGATATCCGGCGGAATTTGCGCTGGTACGTTTGTGTCGATGCGGAAGCGCGTCCCCCAGAGGAAGGAGCGAAGAAACTTCCTCGGGGATGTGTGTGCGGGTGACGTGGAATAGGTGGTCTGCCTGAGTGATGCTATCGAGGGACGATGCCGGAAGTGTGACAATGTTGAATTAACGGAGCGGCTGGCGTGAAACCGCGATGAGGAAGGTGGCTTCGTGAGATATGAGCTACTAACCGGTTTACCGGCTATCATGGAAAATGCGGCGCGGTGAAGCTTAAAGCGCTGATAGAGTGTACTTGGAGAGCTGGAGGCGTAAGTCGAGGGCACTGAAGTAAAGACAGGTGATGACGTAAGCGAGTGGCACACGATTAAAGACCGCGAGGCGACTAAAGCAGGAAAAGTGATTAAAGACCCAGTGGTCAGTCGACTGCCGATAGCCCCATCACAGGAAGCACGAGCAAATAAGGCCCGCGACAATATCGAGGCGCGAGAGGATTTTGATATCGGGGCACGTGAGGCCGAGAGAGAGCACGCCATCACTCCGAGCGCCTTCAAGCCTCAAAGAACCGGCCTGATCCTCTGAAACTCCTCACATCGCCAGCTGGGTTGCTCTCCGCGCCTTAGACGCTAGCGATAGGCCCATCTGTGGCACATGGATCTCCAAGAGACCACGGGGGAATGGCTCCAGACCAGAACAGACGGGTGGCACTAGTAAAAGGGATATCGAAAAAATATAATGCGACCGATTATGAGCTTCGTTACTGCATACAGTTATAAAACAATTTGAAGTCATACTGTGTGAGTCTTATCATGTTTCTAAGTTCAGTACAGTTCAGACTCGCCTACCAATTAGGGCGTGTAAAATCCCTGCGCATTTGCAAAAAATGGGTTTGGCCGGGATTTTGTCGACCAAAATGGTCGACACTTTTTTCGCATAAAGCGATCAGATGGCCGAATGAAAGTCAACCAATAAGCAGCCAGAATATACAGTTCAGCAAAGTTTACAACTTTGTTGGCCGATTTGCAGGCCGACTCCAGAAAATTGTAAACTTTCAAATGGCCGAAGTGCGCGACAGAGTCGCAAACTTGTACCCGATACTGGAACGCACAACCACTTCACTCATGACTACAGTCTGAGTGTAGGTTCTGCGGTTCCGTTCACACGCGGCTCTGCGAGTCACATTTAGCCAAGTGCCAATGCCTTGTCTCCACTACAAAAGGAAACCGCAAAAAAAGTCCGCACTAAGCCTTGCAATGGCTACCACTTTCACTCCGCTTGCAACCCGCCAGCTAGCCACAGGCCTGGTACAGGCTGCCCTTGTACCATGGATCACCACCATGACGTTACTCGTCCCCCCGCTAATGGACTATGCCGACGACTCAGAGTACCAGATGTTCTGGCGTCGGGACCGTCAGATCCAACGCGCACGATGGATGGATCGGTTCTTACACCTAGCGCCCAAACACACGTACGAGGCGTTGCGGGTCGAAGGAAATGTTTTTTGTTACCTTTGCAAGGCGTGGGCAACACATCTCATCTCCACGGGCAAAAAGGCGTGCAATGTCACGCTCCAGATTGCCATGGTGCTCGTCAGGTTCGGAAGTGGCATGACGTACCGGGAGCTCGGGCTCATGTTCGGATTCAGTCACACGCGTGTTCACCAAGTGTGCTAGGCGTGGATTAACTTCAACATCGACTACTTGATGGAAGAATGAGTGACTTGGCCCGACGAGGATGACCTGTCGCTATGGGAGGAGGACTTCCGCTGGGACATCGGAATTCCCGGCATCGTTGGTGCCATGGACGGCACCTATATCCATACGCGCGGCTGGGGACCACACGCAGAGGAGTTCAAAAACAGAAAAGTTTTTTTTCAGCGTCATCTTGCAACGCATCGTGGATGCGAACGGCCTTGTCTGGAGCTTGCTTGCCGGCTGGCCCGGTTCAGTAAACGACTCAAAGGTATTTAATAGTTCAAAGCTAAACAGAGCATTGAGCGAGGCGGCATTGGAAACTATGTGATTGTGAGTGACGCGACCTACGGGCTGAAAGAATACACCTACGTTCCCTACCGCGCCACCCCGTCAACTCCTACCAGATGCACAAGCAGTGTGGAACAAACAGCAGTCTCAAGCCCGCATGATCGTTGAGCAAGTCAACGGTCGGCTCAAGACGGAGTGGAGAATCCTCGACGGTCGCATGGAGTGTCACCGCCGCCATGTCTCCGCAACCATCGTAGCCGTTGTGCCGCTGCACAACATCGAGATGGTGCTCGGGGCGCGCTACCGCATGGAGGCTCAGTACCCGCGGAATCGATGGTGGCTTCGCGGTCCGGCAGCCGACCTCGTACACGGGAAGGGAGGTGGACGGTTTCATGCCTGTTCATCGTCGGAATCGCTTTTGCGCTTTCCTTTACACCTCGTGGCGTCTTGGTCATCCGGAGCTCGCCCGTCCCTTTCTCGGGTACGTTCAAAGATGCGCGTCATTGTAGTCTCCACACATACAGTCAACTCACGTGTCATGTTTCGACACACATCCTCCACCCACGCACGCTTTCCTTTCCGGCCGCTCTCAGACATTGCTGCCCAATCTTTGTCCTCATCTCGTTCGTCCTCCATCGCAGACGTCGATCTCGCCCTCGCCGTCGTACGGCCACTGCGGAGCGCCCCCCCTGGTCCGATGTTGAGTGAAGTGGCAGCCTTGCGGGGATGCGGCGACCCACGTGAACGCTTCGTCGTAGGCGTCAAGGACGAAGGCTTAGAAGGCGACGGTGACGCGCATCGTGCAGGAGTGCTCATTGCGGCGGTGGGCGTAGACTTCATTGCAGGTGGCGCCGAATGAACTAGGAGAGGACCTGCGCAAGGAGTGGTTAGTAGGGTAGAGCAACGGGGGGAGTGCATGGTCAATGTTTGTTATATCAATGTATCCTTAAGAGGCATATTGTACTAACACTGCATCAAGTATCCCTATAAAGTCTTACCAGGGCTGGCTGTTGATCCCGTTGCCGTGGCACTCACTGATCCACCTGGCAGCCCGCTACGTGATGGCTCGGTAGGTGTAGTAGGTACGTGCTCGGACTGGTTGATGGCCACGTTTCCAACGAGTGGAGTCACCGGAGCCGCGTCTGGCGTCTCTGTCATGGGTGTGTCTGCGTGTACGGACGTGTCAGCCGGACCGTTGACCGTAGGTTCCTCGGGACCACTCTCGACTGTGGTGGTTGACCACTCTCGAACCGTTTCGCGGTCCCTCTACAGCTGGTCCGCCATCTCGTACTATAAGGGACAACCCTCTGATAGCCCCTCACCCGACCTCGTCCACACACCACACCATCGGAGCCAGGCCGCCTCCATGTGTCGAAGCTTCGGACGCAAGTGGGACACAGGGTAGCTCCATCGTGGATTGCGGGTGAGAAGGTTGCGATGAAGCTTGGAAAACTGGTTCTGGCCCTGCATTCCTCGCATCCCGCTCCATTCTCCTTTTAGGAGCTAGGGTCTGAGCAGGGGGTGTGTGTTGAGGGTGTGGGGCAGTTGGAGGAGGTTGTGTGAAGGTAGCTGTCGTGTCGCCTGCAGCGCCTGTAGTCCGTCGCCCTTGCTTCGGTAGCCAGTGAGCCTGTTGCACCAGTCGCCAGTGGGTCCGTTGCTCCTGCCGTTCGTCTATAGCCGCGGAGCCAGTTACTCCAGTAGTCCGTCGCCCTTGCTTCGGTAGCCACTGAGTCAGCCGCTCCTGTGCCCGTGCCTCTGCAGCTTCAGTCGTTGCCTCCCATCTTCTCTCCCTCCACAGTTCCTCCTCCTCCTCACTTGCCCGCTGTGATTAAATCTAGCTTTGCTCGCTATTGTGAACTCCTGCTCTATGCCTGCTTGCTCACTGTGCTGATTACACCCCACTTTGGCTATGGGGGTGTGTCAGAATGTAATAATTGTCTAGCCTGCAGTGGGGTACTCTATAGCGAGTACAACCCAATTAGGGTTTCCTATAAGTATGCCAACTACTGCTAGTGCAACCCCTCTTCTTCCATTACTCATTTCTTCACATAAAGCTAAACATGCAAGTGCAAGTATATATAGGTCACAGTACAAGCAAGGTCAAGAAGTGAGCAAGTGAGGCAAAGTAGGGACAAGACCTAACAAAGTACAGAAGCGCTGATGATCACAAGGCGCGAGTGCCTTGGTGAAGATATCAGCAGTGTTGGCCTGAGAGGCCACGTAAGCAAGTCGTAGATGACCACGCTGCTGCAGCTCACGAGCAAGGAAGTAGCGAAGAGCAATGTGCTTCGTTCTGTGCTCCAGTCTGTGCTCCCGACACAAGGCCAGCATGGCCTTGTTGTCTACGTACAGAACTGGAGGAGAACGAGGCGGCTCTCCAAGGTCAGTCAGCAGGTAGGTGAGCCAGCGTAACTCCTGTGCAGCCATGGCCCCCGCGTAGATCTCAGCCTCACAACTGGAGCCGAGAACAGAAGACGAGCGGGTAGACCGCCACGAAACAGAGCCGGAACCAAGGTTGAAGGTGTAACCCTGTGACGACCGCTGCGTAGCCTGGTCGTCAGCCCAAGAAGCGTCTGCGTGACCAGTGAGGACCACTGGACTCCACCCTCCAAGCACAAGCCCCATGCCCGACGTACTGCACAAGTAGCGCAACACCCTCTTCGCTGCAGCCATGTGCTCTGGTCTGTGTCTCCCAGGAGCAACATAGCGTGCCAGAATGCTAAGAGGGTATGCAAGGTCAGGTCGAGTGCAGGTCATCAGGTACATGAGGCAACCAACAAGCTCTGGGTACGGGCCACTCGACTCTACGG